AAGTTCGGCAACACTGTTGTAGCGATGTACAACTGTATTGTAGGATGACAGTGTGGCTTTCATTTGCATTTATCTAATGACTAATGCTGCTGAGTGTCCTTCATATGCCTATCGGGCACAGCTACCTCTTTGGAGAAAGTATTCAAACTCTGCCCATCTACACACACACACTTTTTCTATCAGGCATAAGATTCATAAATATTTCCCCAATTATGCAGGATATCTTTTTACTTTCCTTTAGAGTGCTCTTTGATAAAATATTTCAGTTCTGATGGAGTCCAATCTATCTATTTTTTCCCCTACTTTTGTCTTGAGCAGTACATCTAAGGAACCATTGTCCCAACCAAAGCCAGATGACTATACGTTTTCTACAAGTTTCGTAGTTACATTTAAATTCTTGCTCCACCAAGAGTTAAGGTTTATATATGGTCCAGCCTCATTAGTTTGCATATGGATATCCAGTTATTAACAACACTTGTTGAAAACATTGTTCTTCCCTCATGAACTACATTGCTCCCTTTGTTAAAACGTCAGTTGGTCAGGGCTGGGTAGGGTAGCTCAGTGGTACAGCACTGGCCCAGCATGTGCAAAAGCCGGGGATAAGTCTAAGAACCAGAAAACACTAAATAGCTCATCTGCTCATGAACACAGGGGGTTACCTCTACTCCACTGATCTATATGGCTGTACATAGGTCATTAGCATCCTGTCTCATCATAGCTTTGTAGTAAGTTTTAAAATCAGAAAGTATTGACTATGCATACTATTTTGTTTCTCCGAGACCATTTTGAAAATTCTGGGTCCTTGTAGTTTGAAAGTATATAAATCTTGCACTCCTCTTAACTTTATTCAGTTGAGCAATTTTTTTGTTTGTTTGTTTGCTTTTTGTTTTTGCAAGACAGGGTTTCTCTGTGTAGTTTTGGTGCCTGTCCTGGATCTCGCTCTGTAGATCAGGCTGGCCTCGAACTCACAGAGATCCACCTGGCTCTGCCTCCTGAGTGCTGGGATTAAAGGTGTGTGCCACCACCACCCAGCCAATTGAGCAATCTTAAAATTTACTGATACTTTGTACAACCAGTTGAAATCTGTTGTCCAATTTTAGTAGTTTTTAAGCAATTTATTCTTAGGAGCTGTCTTAGTCGATGTACTATTGCTGTGAAGAGACACCATGACCACAGCAACTCTTATAAAGGAAAACATTTAATTGGGGTTGGCTTAGAGTTTCAGAGGTCTAGTCCATTATCATTATGGCAGGCAGGAGCTGGATTGTTTCTGAGAGTTCTACATCCAGACTGGCAAACAGGAAGAGAGAGACACTGGGCTTGGGTTGAGTATTTGAAACCTCAAAGCCTACCTTCAGTGACACACCTCCTCCAACAAGGCCACCCCTCCTAATCCCTGTCAAGTGGTGCCACTCCCTAATGTCCAAGCATTCAATTATATGAGCCAGTGGGGGCCATTCCTATTCAAACCACCACAGGGGCTACCTGTGGTGGTGCATGTCTTTAATCTCCGCACTCAGGAGGCAGAAACAGGTGGATCTCTGTAAGTTTGAGGCCAGCCTGGTCTACATAGCAAGTTGAGGGCAGCCCAGGGCTATAAAATGAGATCTGATCTGAAAAATTAACTAATTTAATTTATTATCGCAATTTTAACTGCAGAACTTCTTTTTGGTTAAAAAAAAAACATATCTGTCTCTTTATTGTTACTCTTTATTTGATGAGACACAATTTTATGTACCTTCCTTTAATTCGTTAGATACATTTCCCAATTCTTTCAATATATTATATATTATCTGCTAAATATAACAATTGGATCCCCTCAATTACAGTTTCAGTGTACTGAGAGGTTTCTTTCCTTCTTTATGGGTCACATTTTGGGTTATTGTTGTTGTTGTTGTAGTTATGTCTGTTTGTTTGTTTTTCAGTGTAGTATATATTAGGCATCCACTCTATCAATGAGCTACACTCCCACCCCGCATCTTGTAACTCTTTGTCGAAGACTGAACGTTCAGAAACTTGCAACTCTGAGTCCTAAATCCCCTCCCCCTCCCTGCAACTGTCCTCTATTGCTGCTGCTGCTGCTGCTGCTGCTGCTATTGGTTCCTGAGTTTCTTGAATTGATTCTACAGTCTGAATTCCTTAGCATGCATGACCCCCGAGTCTCTGTTTAATTAACTTACTGGCCGACTGGTGAACAGACAGAAATTTCCTTCAGGATTTTAACCAAGAATCCTCCCGGGCTTCACTGAGTGCCCTCCCTCCCTCTCTCCCTCTGCAGGTGGGGCATGGCTTCTGTGGCCCCTGGGCAGTTTTATGACTCTAACCTTAGCCTTCTCTTCCTGTTTGTGAGAGTCTCAGCATGTGTCAAAGGGGAGAAGGGTTTTCTGGCCCTTTCCTAGTCACACGCAGAACCACGCACAAACAGCCAGCCTAGCTTCGCAAGAATTCGCCGGAGCATTTGAAACTCCCTATGAATATCTTTCATGGTTTCTTTTCCTTCATTCAATCTCTTGATCCCAAATGGAATCACCGCCTCAAGACAACGCTTAAAAATCCCCACTTACTATTTTTGACCAACATCCTATTAATAAGGAGAAAGTTCTGAATCCAGTCAACATAATTATAAGCCCTAAGAACACAATTCCACAAGCAGATTCCAGAGAGTTCACATAGACAGTACTCACACCAGAGATGCGCCTATTTTGGAAGACCCCCAAACCCACGCTGGCTCCTTCTATCAGCTACTAGTTTTCTGGTGTCCACAATTATCATAGTAAATTTGTGAATTTCTGTGCCACCATGGAGATGAGATTAGCGGGTCCAGACAAGCTAAAATGCCACTGCACTCACTGTTTTCAATAACATTCAACTACTCTGATTTAAATGCATGTTTCCAGATTATTTGAAAACCTTTGGTTAATTTCTAGAGGTTTGTAAACAGCAGATTTTGATCATTATTGCCAACATTCTCACTGCTGATGTTGAATAGACTTTTTTTTAGAAGTCCTCACCCCAAGATGCCATGTTGCTCTTGAAAGAACACTTAAAAATATTATTGTAATTCAGAGCCTATAGGATGCTTCACCAGGTAAAGGGTGCTTGCCACCAAGCTTGATGACTTAGTTGAAGACCCAGAAGCAGCATGGTGGAAGGAAAGAACAGATTCCCACAAGTTCTGCTCTGAAGCAGGGAAGGTGCAGACACAAATTAGTTAACAAACATTTAAAACTGTTGCCTTGGTTCAATAGTATTTTGTTTGTTTGTTTTTTGTTTTGTTTCGTTTTTCGAGACAGGATTTCTCTGTGTAGTTTTGGTGTCTGGCCTGGATCTTACTCTGTAGACCAGGCTGGCCTCAAACTCATAGGATCCTCCTGGCTCTGCCTCCTGAGTGCTGGGATTAAAGGTGTGCGCTACTGCTGCCCGGCTCAATAGTATTTTTATTTCCTTTCAATAGTGTTTTTATTTCCTTTCTACTCACAAAGTAACTTACTTCTCCCTTGTCTCCTTCAGTGAGTAAATTATAAAATTTTAGGGCAACTGGGGATATGAAAAAAATATTATCTGACTTTTAAAAATAATTTCCTTGTGCTCAGGCTCTATGGAGGGAAGTTTCAGGAACAATGTAGATCTAATCTGTTTCTTTCCAATAAATAAATAAAAATACAGGGTGCTGAGGATGTGTTTAGTTGGTAGAGTGCCTGCCTAGCTTACAGGAAGCTCTGGATTCAATGTCCAGTGCCATATAAACTGGATGTGATGGTTCACCCCCATAACCCCCAAACTTGGGATGTTGAAGCATGAGGAACAGAAATTCGAAGTCCTGGGCTGCAGAGATGACTTGGTAGTTAAAAGCTCATACTGCTCTGGCAAAGGAAGGGAGGTTCACTCCCAGAACCCATCTTGTAACTGCCTGTAACTCCAGTTCCAAGAGATCTGAGACCTCTGGCCTCCCAGGGCAAATGCACTCACACACACATACCCACACGCACTCACACAAACGTGTAATTAAAAATAAAGTAAATCTTGAGTGTGGCCATACACGCCTTTAATCCCAGCACTCAGACAGCAGAGGCAGGCAGATCTCTGGGAGTTACGAGGGCAGCCTGGTCTGTGTTGCAAGTTCCAGGCCAGCCAAAGCTACACAGTGAGGCCCTGCCTCAAAAACTAAATAAAAATAAAGATTATATTTTCAAAGAAACTCAAGGTCATCTTCATGCACAGAGAACTCAAGGCAAGCCTAAAATGCACGAGACAGTGTCTTAAATAAGTAGGGCAGGTTTGAAGGCTCTGGGACTAAAGAAAGGCATCTGCCACCAAACCTGAGTTCATTCCTAATGACCCATGTAATGGAAGGAAAGAAATGACTCCAGAAAGTTGTTCTCTGACCTCCCGACACCCGCTGTGGTCCATGCATCCTCCTATCTCCCGGCCCCAACAAGTGTAATTGAAAAATAAGTAAGTAAATCCAGCTCTAGGCTAGTCATGAGATGAACTGGAAATTAAAGGAGCATCAGAAAAGGCTATACAATGTTTTGAGATTAAAAAAACAAAACCAAAAGGGCACCCATGCCTGAGTTTCTGCAGAGAAAGGCAGAGCTTCCAAACAGACCACCTACGCGATAATTACTCAACTGTGGACTTCCACTCCTCGGCGTTTACCACTTCTCATTAGCCTTCTCCACGGCCTCAGATGTCAGGTGCTGAGGTGACGGACGTGCACAATAATTTGTCCAGTCCTCTTCTTGAGCAAAACTGGAATTGGTAAAGGATGGTTGGTGACACGAAAGTGGAGGCTGGTGATTCATTCCTGGTGATGTCTTGGGCCAAATTCCAGAAGGCAGGTTTTTTTTTTTTTTTTTTTTTTTTTTTCAGGAGGGAGGAGGGAAATTTGCATACGACCTCACCCAGAAGCTCCGGCCCCACAGCATATAAACTGGAGAGCCCCGCACTCCTACTCAGTCTTACTACTGCCAAGCCCGGCAACCAAGCGGACCAGGACCATGGCTGCACCCCGTGCCTTGCTGCCACAGCTGGGGCTGTTCCTGTGCTTGGCTCTGTGCTTTTCTCCTGCCTTTTCTGCGAGTTACCAGAACCCCTGCATGGCCTTGGATACAGTCCTCACCTCTGACAACTTGGGAATCAGCACTAAGGCTGGGGGCTCTGGCGGGAACAGAACTTACACGGGTGAGTCAAAACCATTCATTCCGCCGTCCTTGGTTCTCGCAGAACAAACCCCTCCGTCCTTGCACTCAACGCGTGTGTGTGTGTGTGTGTGTGTGTGTGTGTGTGTGTGTGTGTGTGAACAGGATGGGAAATGAGGGGGGGCTGATTCATACGTGAGAGTGGTTTGGAAGGACCACGGGTGGTATAAAGCCCCAGGGCCCAGATGAACTGAGCCCCAGCCAGATCCACCTGGACAGACATATTAAAGGGATGTTATGTTATTTTGAGGGATTTCATTGTGGTCTACAGTTCCTCACATCCACTTGACAAAATGACGATACCCCAAGAGCACCAGGAGGGATGGTTTGCATTTAGTGCATGGGAAAAACCATGGGAGCTAGAGGAAGACATCAGTAGCCCACCTTTTCTGTGAGGAGCCCTGAGTGCAGAGGTGTCAAATGACTTGCTGGGGACTCACTGCCCACAGGCGGCAGAAGCTCCCTGACCTTATTCAATCTTCACCTAACGTTTTTCTTAGAGGTGTCTGGAAAGTATTTCACATCTTTCCCTTTGGTGATTCAACAAAACATACAAGTTGAAGAATAAGCTTTCTAATTAGTCAAATCTACTAGTCAAGGAAAATGCTTTCTACCTAGTTTTGCTTATACTTTGGGGGGGGAAAAATGTAATGTTCACCCTTCCTTAAAAGTCTAAGCAAATTTGGCAGAGACCACCTGGGTATGGCCTTACCCGTGGTCTGTGGAGGCCCAGCCTTGAAGGTGAACCACCATGCCGTCCAGGCCTTCCCACACTCATCCTGCTTGTCCCTACTGTTTGCTGGGGGCCTGTCCCTAAGCAAGCGCTCCTGCTGTAACAGGATGGTGTCTCATCCCATCACCCACCCCCACCCCCACCCCCCGCCCCGTGCGCCCCCCTCTCCCTTGAGAAGTGGGTCTTTTCATACCAGAGCAAGGAGATAAGTCTGGGTGTCTCATCCCATCGCCCCCCACCCCCGCCCCGTGCGCCCCCCTCTCCCTTGAGAAGTGGGTCTTTTCATACCAGAGCAGGGGAGATAAGTCTGTAATTCAAGATGAATGCTAGGTGAGTGTGTGTGTGTGTGTGTGTGTGTGTGTGTGTGTGTGTGTGTGAATCCCTTACTGCGAGAGCGATTGTAAAATAGCTCATCAGGAGACAGGCAGGTCTGCTGCTGAAATGGGAGAAAGAGAAGTCTGGGGCGGGGGGAGATAAGATGAAGACGTGGGAGCCTTTCTGAGCAGAGGGAGGCAGGAGGGGCGAAACAAGACATTGGGGAGTCGGGGGGAAGGGCGACCGCAGCTGTTCCTGTAGCCTCAGGGAAGAGGAAAAGAGCTCCACTTCCTTGAGTGCCTATACCTGCTTTGCTCTTTATCAGATTCCATTGCAAACCAAAATGTGTGCGAGCCAGCGAGCAGCTCTGAGGTAAATCTGACTCAGACTCTAAACTGAGGGTCAAAAATGCTCTCTGTCCTTGGGGATGAGAAGGGCCGAATTCCACCCCTACAGTTACAAAGAAGGCTTGGCCAATCCCTTCGTAGAATGTCATGGTGGGACTCAGGCCTTCCAGAGATCCCGAATAAACACCAGGTCAGCCACCTTCCCCTGTTTTGGTTTGAAATCCTTTTCCACTTCAGCATTGGGTCAACAGTGGTAAGCCATGTATAAATGGCTTCAGCGTAGCCAACACCTCAGAGCACCTTCCCTGGATCCGTTCAGGAAAGAAACCCGCAGTATTTACATTAAGACTATGCTAGGCCAGCCTCGGCCTCATTGTTCACTTCTATGGGCAAGAAGGATGTAATTTACTTCCTGAACTTTCCAGCTTTAAGAACATTGTACTCCACTGAATAAAGGATTTTTTTTTTAAGTGCGACAGACAGAACTCAAGACCTTGAACATGCTAGACAAGCGCTAGCGCACTACCACTAAGTTTACATCCACCCCTGCCGGATGCAGGGCCGCAGGATCGATCAAAAGTAGTCGTCTCCCTGGGCTGCCCAGCCGCTAACACCAATGAAACCATAAAGCATGCTTAAGTATTCAGTTCTAGAGTCAGCGTGTCAGTGTTTCAGGCATGAGGGGAAAAGAGAACTAAGTCCAGAGGAAGGATGAGAGCAAGATCTGGGTGTGTAAGTGGGGACAAGGTGAATGATAACAAAAAAGGAAGGTTCCAGACAGGCACCCAGACATGAACAAACACCAGGCCCAGGTGTGGGTCAGATAGGAGCCAGGTGCGTTTGCAGAGCAGCTGGGGGTGGGGGAGGTGGGAACCAGCTGCTGTCCCTAGAGTGGAACGCGAACAGAAGAGGGAGGCTAGGCTCTTGGGGCCCTGGATGCTGTCACTGACAGGGAAAAGACCGTGGAGGCGGAAATGTTTCGGTTCTCTAGGTGGAAAGGCACACTTCCTACTTGAGTCTGGTCTGGTCACCGCATGTTGCAAGGCATCCTGAGGGGAGAGACTGAGGCCACAAATCCAGAGAATGAAAGTGCTCAGGAAGGAAGGAAGGAAGGCAGGCAGGCTTTGAGCCCACAGTGAAAGGGGAGAAGCAGAAAGGAACAGTCGAGAAAACACCCGTGGAGAGCTTAGAGGATTGATGACTGTCTATCTAAGTGACACTGTTGCGCATCACCTTCCGCCACACCAAGATGCAGAAATGTAGGACAAAGGTCAACTCCTCTCTGAGTGAGTCAGGGCTTATGGGATATGCGTCAGCTGACCTTCTTGGCAAGCAAACCAGGCCAAAGAAATATAATGTGCTTAAATATAATTAGTAATAACATTCACAATTTGTGAATGTTATGAAACACATGTTGGCATCTTTTCCTCAGTCCTCTCAGGAGCCTTTACCAATAGGTAGCATCATCCCAGATGATGAGGGATAACATCATTGTTCCCCAGACCCAGAGCAACAAAGTGGGAACTTAAAAAAAAAAGTGTAGTTAAGGATATAGCTTAATTAGAGTGTTTGCCCAGCACATCCCAGGTTCTGGGATCTCATAAACCAGGCACACCTGCACACACCTGTAATGCCCGTACACAAGACAGAGAAGCGGGAAAATCAGGAGTTCAAGGTCATCCTCAGCTACACATGAGTCCAGCTCAGGATGAGATCCTGTTTCAAAAACCAAAAACTGTGCACAGTGACCACTAAGCCAGAAGAAACCAAGGCCTAGAGGTAACTTGTCTTGCTCCTAAGTACCAGAGCCAGAACAGGTAGTAGAGCCAGAACGCAGATCCAAGACTGTTTACTATTGTGCTATGTATATCAATATCAAATATCAATATCAAAGCATTTACCAGAGAGAATGACATATCCTCATGTTGAAATTAACAGAGATCAGTGAGGGCCCCTGTAAGTGCAGACAGGCTGGATCTCAGACCTCATCAGATAGAGAATACCCATAGGGGTTATTTGATTGGTCCTTGGATTAGGACTCTGTGGCTCAGACCTCAGTGTCTCACAGGTATCCCAACTGCTGCCCTACCCCACCCCCACCTTCAACAAACAAGACCAAGAGAATCAGCCTTTCTGGGGTCAGGAACAAGGTTTTGCTTTTACTCAGCAACAATATTCTCCGTATTCCTGAAGCACTTCCTAGGAGACCTCGTAACTTTTTCAGGGGTACCTACCTTTGAGGAGAGGCTAAGCTATTCACTCTTAGGATCTGTCCCCTCATGTGTAGCAGAACCAGGGCCAGAGGATGATCAGACTCTTAACTGCCTTTCACTGTAGACTATTTGGAAAATTAAAAAACAAGCATGAAGAAGAATATTAAAATCATCTGTAGCCCAGGCTGGCTTTAAACTTCTCTGTAGCTGAGGAGGACACTGAACCCATGATCCTCAATCCCCCACCTCCCATAGGCTGGAATTACAGGTGTATGGCACCCTGAGTTCCCTGTTAGTATCTTCGTAATTTTCAGCTAGGCTGCCTTCAGTTTTTTTTTTACAGAAACGGGGCCCTGCTGTCCATACTCTGTAACTTCCTTGTTCACACTTCGTTTTGGTTCTGCTTGGCTCACACTAACTGCTACCTCGTCCTGTCCTAGTGTTCGTTCCTGTGAACAGTTCCGTCAGTGCCGTGATTCTGAAAGCAGTGAACCAGAACAACAACACAGTGGGATCCTGGACTGGACCAGTTCAGGAATGCAATGACACCAGTGTCCTCTATCTCATGACATCCTCAAACAACTCCAACTTCCAGGCAACGTGGATAGCTCCTGATTCTGAGGATGTGACTAAAATCAACCTGCAGTAAGGATTGATCGTATTTCACTTTGGGATTTTGAATTTTCATAAGAGGTTTATACAGATTCACATTAACTAGGACTAAAATTAGACTGTGGGAGTGAGTGGAGAACCCAGCAGCGCCGCTTCTTGTCTGCCTCGCCTTCCCTTGCTGTGCCTTTCATGCATGCGCACGCACGCACGCACGCACGCACGTGCACACACACACCAATGCACAGTGCCCAACATAATCAGGAAGACTGGGATACTCTTTCAAGTTCTCCATATTCAAACTAGTGAATTTTTTTTAAATCTTTTGTTAGCATACAAAATAATAGATTTCATTATGACATTTTCATCATGTATATCATTGTACTTTGCTCCTATTCACCCTCATTACCTTCTCTTGTTCCCCCTTCCCTTCAGTTACCTTCCTTCCTGCAGATAGTCCCCTTCCACTTTCACACACACACACACACACACACACACACACACACACACACACACACACGAGAGAGAGAGAGAGAGAGAGAGAGAGAGGTGTAAATCTAGTGGAGAATCATTTGTAAAACATACACCCATTTTGGAAATGTGCAAATAAGAGAAAGTGCAACATCGAGTAAAAACAGTTTTTTCCTTCTGTCATAAAAAATGGATGCCCTGAGGCTCTAAGAAGAGGTCACCGGTGGCTGGCATTATTCTTTCACAACAGATGCCTCTTACTCTGAGGGCATGGTTTGACATTGGCTTCAGAAACCAGGTGTTGTGAAGAACGCAGTGTTCCTGAAAGGGCAACCCTGGCGTGCTGTGTCCACTGTCAGCACCTTGGTCTCTGTGGAAGCTGGTGACACTGTTAAGCCATGCTTCCCTCTCTTGCCACACTCTGGACCTAGCCAGGCTTCATTGGCTTTAGAGGAGGGACTGTTGTGCCCATAGAGTGATAAATGAAAGCAGAATCCAAAGGGAGTCATTACTACCAATCCCACCACGGCAACAGTTGCTTAGAAGCCAGCTAGCTCTACTTAGAGTAAGGATGTTGGCCACACTCGATGCACCAGCTGTGACAGAGCAATGACAATCTGCAGGAGAAACAGCACAGGGCCACCGACAGTGCAGACTTGCACATTTACTGCAATACACTAGTCTCTCTGCTTGTTCATAATATACACACCCATGATCAGCAAGACTGACTCAAGGGGAGGCGGACATAAGGAATACCACCATGGGGGCACACTACACTGAGTAGGGTCCAAAGGGGACGACAAAGGTCTTGGCCTGTGGGATTTACAGTGGACCTGGGAAACAGGACCCACACACATGTTAGTACTGAGGTGAAAGTCTTCCTCTGCTTTCCCTGAACATGTAGATTCAGAAAGAGCTCTGTTACACACTCTCCAGCCTTCCTCTACTTCATCACACACATCATAACTGCAACTGACTCCTTAACTAATTATCTGGCTAGTCACTGAAATCTGTCTCTGAAGACACTGTAAACGCCATGAGCGTAACAGCCATGACTGGTGGGTTCACTGTTATCTGCTCACTCCAAGCACAGTGACTGGTATACAGACTGTGTCCTTTCCTTGGTGACCTGCTGGATGTATAGACAAGGGGCCAATGTTATAGTAGACCCACTAATTTAATAACAACAGGATGAGCTCTGAGAATCATTTAATGAACGTTGAGTACCTGCAGTATGGCAGACATTCACAACAGAGCCTGCCCTCCAGAAGTCAGCCCTCTAGTGGGTAGAAAAGCTCATAGCAACGTTAACAAAAGGTGGGAGTTTGTCAGGATTAACCATAGGGAGACTGGACTTAAAGGATATCCTCGAGTTTCTGAACAGATATGATCAGGGAAGTTATTACAGACAAAAAGATTCTCTTGAACAAGGGACAAATATGTGTACCAGCCTGTGGGGAGTTCCTAATGATGAAGCTGGTGGGGATGGGAGAGCTGTTTAGAGTTAAGACCCTGGAGGAGTTCGGTCAAGTCAACACGAACGAGGTCAATATTTAATGATCAGCTTATTGTGCCATATAAAAAGTACGCTCAAAAGAGATTAACAGGATGGGGTGGTTCAGAAAGGCTAAGATGTAGCTTGTGAGTTTCACAGACAAGATCCTCACCATTTCTCTCACTGATTTGCCCTCCAGAGTCTCCATCGTCACCGCCAATCGCACAGCTATGATGTCATCTGTGAGACTGGAACAGATGAGTGAGTTCTGTTGCAAACGCTTTGCATATTTACCGATAAACTCAAGCAGTCTGGAAAATTATTTTACCCAAGTATCAGTTGAGTTTCCCACCATCCTCATACCTAATGTGAGATTTTCCCCAACCTTTTGTTTTATGTCATGTGGAAAAACAAAAGCCCTCTCCAAGATTTGTGCAACTTTTCAGAAATCCCCATGGTCACCCGTGGTTCCAAACCCTGTTTCAATAGGGACTACTTCTGTTCAGTACTAGATAGGCACCAATCTGAAAAAGCAACATTATTCTCAGTGTCCACCCAGAACCTGAAACCCCACTCACACAGGCTTTCACAGGGTCCACCTTTAATCAACCAGTTTGTAAGGGAATTATGCAGGGTAGGGGGATTGGAAGGTACTAGTTATACAAAAAGAGTTGGTATCACAAAAATGACAATAATGTCATAAGTTCTTGTCGACTTGCTTTTTGTTTTTGTTTTTGTTTTTCTTTTGCAAAAGGTAGATTGACCCTAGTACCTTGGCACAAACTAAGAAAGTACGTGATTGCTTAGCTGCATCCTGACCCTTTCATGGGTTTTCTTTCTATTCCGTGTGTGTGTGTGTGTGTGTGTGTGTGTGTGTGTGTGTGTGTGTGTGTACGTGTACGCACGCACACATGTATTCACAAACATGCATGCATGTTCATGTGTATGCATGTATTCATGCTTATGGAGGTCAGTAGTCAGCCTCACCTTGTTTTTTGAGACAGGGTCTCTCACTGGCCTGGGACTCACAAAGTAGGATGGTTAGCCAGTGATTCCAGTGATCTGCCTTCTTGGCCTCTCTGGTGCTGTGATTACAAACATGTGCCGCCACACCTGGAATTTTCACAAGGGATTGAGGAGATCAAACTCAGGTCCTCAAAACTGAGTAAAAGGACTTTACTAAGTCATGTTCACAGCCCTTTCACGAGTTCCTAACAGCCTTAGCCACTCTCGTCCCCACCAGGAATTTCCACCAGCCTTCCACAGGGTGCAGACCCCAGGCTCATACTTTCCTGGGCTCCTCATCCTTCCTCTGTTCCCTTTTCTCATATTTCCCTGTAAGAAGCCAAAGCATCCGAGCTTCAGAAAGGAGAGTCAACTTCCCTAAGGACACAGAGAATGTCCAGAGCAGAGTGAGGACTCCAATTCCACATCTTACACCTTTTTCTACTTTTCTTAGACTTAGGTTAAAACTAAAGAGATCATTTCAATGCAGTTTTTTTAGTCTAAGATTCAGCCGAGAGCATGTGTGAGGCCTTGGAGTCAAATCTCCAGCATGGGGGGGTGTTGTGGGGGGAGAAAAACAAGAACTATTAGTCTTTCACAATGTCCAAATAGCAGGCCTTCTTCTTGAGTCCCAGAGCACTGAAAGGCACACAGCATGTGGCTGGTTTTTCTTTAGGTTATCTACTACCAAATGCACCAATGGAACAGTTATTTCTAACAACAAGTTTTAAAGTGCTTATGCCTAATCAAACTATTATATGACAGTCTTAACTTTTTCCTGGGTGGCTTTCCCTCTCTGAGGTTATTTTCTCCCTCAAGGACATTTTTGAGAAAAACATTTGCAGAAATGCTAATGGAGGGGGAAATGTTTATTTCTAATCAGGACCCCTTAGCTCTACCCTAACAAAATACAGTTTAAAAATTAGAGGAAAGGTGTGGAGTGGTGGTGTACACCTGTGTTCCCAGCAGTTAGGAGGCTAAGGCCAGAAGGTCACCATTTCAAGGCCAACCTGGGCTATACACAGAGCAAGACTCTTGTCCCAAACCAAATAAGAGAATGACAGAAAAGGGGACGAACGTGGCTGTGCTCTGCTCTCCAGCTGCATGGAATGTCCTGGAGAAATGCTGGAGAGAGAAGGCACCGTCTCAGAGCAGGAGCGCATCCACCAGGCAGGCAGAAGGAGGCCTGGGCCTGGGCCATTTTCCTTCTTCTCTTGGTGCCAAGTTCTAAAGGGGAAGAAAGTAAAGTGGGCAGTGGGGGCAGAGTGTGTGGACATGGGAAGGACAAGGGAGGGCATCCTCTGCCTTCCTCTACGACTTTCTTTCTTATGACTAAAGATAGGGGCTCTCGCTGAACCTAGAGCTTCCCATTTCCAGTTATGCTGTTGGCCAACAAGTCCCAGCAATCCTCCTGTCTCTGCCCTTTCCTGAAAGTGCCCTTCTACCCACTCCCAGCTAAGGGTGAGACACCCTTGAAGTGTCTGAGCTCCAAGCTCCAGGTGTTCTGGCATCAGACAAGTCCCTAGGAGTGCAGGCCTGGCTCTCTTTGCTTCTCTAAGAGATAATCGCTGAGAACCAGTGTCCAGCCAGAACCTGCAAGAGAAAATGGCTAGAAAATGGCCTGTGGCTTGCTAGCTGTAGAAATAAAGTCAAGGATAGGGTATCTCTAGATACCTGTCTAGATAGGGTATCTCCTACTAATGTTAAGGCAGAGGCCACTGTTCTTGGTTCTACATGATACTGAGTTCTCACAAGGCCTCGGAATTAGCAAGAAAGTCATAAAATTGCACTACATTGGGTCATATCTGCACTAGAGTTGAGAGTATGAAGATACTTGAGAGCATACTGCCCAACCAATGACAAGTTCATATGTTTTATAAATTCTGTGGGTCTCCTCATCTCAATAGACTATTCGGGTGCTGGAGAGATGGCTCGGCTCAGCAGTTAAAAACACTGGTTGTTATCCCAGAAGTCCCAGGTTCAATTCCCAGCACCCACGTGGCCCTCACAACTCTCCGTGACTCCAGGCTCAGGAAATCTGACAACCTCTTCTAGCCTTGAGGGCACTGTATGTGATGCACAGACACACATGCAGGCAGAACTCTACACATTTGAAAAACAAATAAGCAAAATAAAATGCAGGAGAAAAGACCATGCAGACCTTAAGGATAGAGGCTTAGGGTTTTTTGTTTGTTTTGGTTTGGTTTGTTTTTTTTTTTTTGTTTGTTTGTTTTTTTTTTTTTTTTTTGGTTTGGTTTGGTTTTTGGTTTTTTGAGACAGGGTTTCTCTGTGTAGCTTTGGAGCCTTTCCTGGAACTCACTCTGTAGCCCAGACTGGCCTCGAACTCACAGAGATCCCCCTGCCTCTGCCTCCTGAGTGCTGGGATTAAAGGCGTGCGGCGCCGCCGCCGCCGCCGCCGCCGCCGCCGCCGCCGCCGCCGCCACCACCACCCAGCTGAGGCTTGGTTATTTTTATTACTTAGCAGTCTGAACCTTCTAGCTGCCTATAGCTCCCTCCCCCACAAGGCACTGGAGAAATATTGACCAACTTTTGCTCCTGATCTCTGGCTTTACTGTCTTGAAAAAAAGTATTTGTTAGTATTGTGTGTGTATGCACACAACTTATGTGTGAAGGTCAGAGGACAGCATTTTAAGATCAGTTCTCTTCTTCCGCCTTTATGTGGAATTGAACTCATGACAAGTGCCTTTACCAGCTGAGCCATCTTGCCAGCCTTTTTCTAGCGCCTACCCACCTCCCAACAAAGGTCTAAGAACATTGTTTCTTTGATTATTTCTCTTTCTCCCCCAGCAACACCTGCACCCTTGACCCCCACCCCTGAGACTTCTGGGACCAGCCGGACCACAACCATGACCACAGGCAAGAGCCAGACCACAACCATGACCACAGCCAAGAGCCAGACCACAACCATGACTACAGGCAAGAGCCAGACCACAACCATGACTACAGGCAAGAGCCAGACCACAACCATGACTACAGGCAAGAGCCAGACCACAACCATGACCACAGCCAAGAGCCAGACCACAACCATGACCACAGGCAAGAGCCAGACCACAACCATGACCACAGCCAAGAGCCAGACCACAACCATGACCACAGGCAAGAGCCAGACCACAACCATGACCACAGCCAAGACCACAGCCAGAAGCCCGGCCGTCAACGCCCTCGGCAGCCCCCTCGCAGTCTCCCTCCATATCCTGCTTGTTTTTGTCATCAGCAGACTCCTCTTCTAGAGGAGACGGAGGAAGCCAATCTTTGACCTACAGAACGTCCTCCCAAAGCTAACTCCAGGCCAGTGCTTAGCCGTGTGAATGAAGATTTTTATGTCCTCAGCATGCAACTCCACCACCTCGGACCACAGACATGTGACACAAACTAGTGTGTTTGAGCGACACAGAGTTTGCCGGGATCTTTCAGGGCACAAATTCTGCTTTTTGTAAATACTTAGGCCAGTCTAGTTGTGACCCGGAGTTCTGACTCTCAGTTCTACATGCTGACAGCCAATCTGGACTTCTGTTTATTGCCAAAGGATTCCCATGAGCCTCCTGGGCTGGGGGGTGGGAGGGGGATCCTTCTTTACTTTCAAGATGATTTTAGATTTCTGGCCAAATCTACTCAGGTTACAAAGAACTTCTGTGACTTACATGACTGAAGGGAAAAAAGAGAAATGAGTGACAGTCTCGTGGCTCCTAGCAGATCCCCATTGTGCCCAGACCAGCAGGTTTTGAAGAGCAGAAGTATATGAAAACTATGTCTGGGGGCCAATGACGGGACACATGATTTTTTTTTCCCTAAGTCAAATAAACGATACGTTGAACAAGAATAATAAATGTGTTAAATCGAAAGATAAGCTTTAAATGAATGATAAAATACAAAGTGTTACCCAAATTTGTTTCTAAAACTACCAATGAAAGTGTGTGTGTGTGTGTGTGTGTGTGTGTGTGTGTGTGTGTTTGTGTGTGTGTGTGTGTGTGTGTGTGTGTGTGTGTGTTTGTGTTCAAGGACAGATACAAGGTTAATTTATCTCAATTTGGTCAACTGGTTTCTTCTTCCTTGATGGTAATTTCAACCAAGAAATGGGCAAAAAAAAAAATACTTGTAATATTTATAGTACAATGTGAAACAAAATTATTTCCAGCAGTAAGCCTGTAATAAGAAATAAAGTTTCCCTTTACTAAATGCTGTCTTATACATTTCAGGACCAGGACCACCTACCCAGGGGTGGCACTGCCCGCATCAATCATTAATCAAGAACATGTTCCACAGAGTTGTAAGCACACAGGCCAATCTGATGGAGGCATTTTTCCCAGTTTAAGTTCTCTCTTCCCAGATGACCCTGCCTGGGTCAAATTGACAGAAAACTAACCAACACACAACATGAAGAGATCCCCTCATAACATTATTATCATCTGTGCGCCGATTCTATTAGCTGCTTTCACAAACACCGCATGAGCAAGTGTCACAAAAACGTGCTGGCCTGGAAACTGCCTGTTGGTTCTGTACATTTTTGAAGGTAAGAAGATTGAGGGGTCAGAGAATGTCTGAAAGCAGCCCTGGCCACAGAGAAAAGCAGCACTCCCCAGTAACCCCGGCACTCAGCAGGCAGAGGCCAGAGGACTACTGGTAAATTCAGGGACAGTCTGGTCTAGGAAGTTCAAGGGCAGGAGAGAGCGGTCACTGAGCTGGTGAAAGGCAGGACAGGGATACAGAACTTGGTTTCCTACTTAGTCACAAAGTTCTGAGTTGGCCCTGCCCTTTAACTGGCTGAGACGCAAAATAGAACACCCCTGCTTCACTGAGGGTGTAATGACCACAGTGCTATTCCTCGGGGCCATGACTACGGAGTCGACTGTAGCCGTGATCACGACACATCTTTGAATCTCCTGCAGTTCATTGTTTTGTGAATGGAGACGGACATTCACGTCTTTCACCAGCTTTGGTAGTTTCCAACCCTTATCTCTGCTCTTTCAGCTTCTTCCTCTCCTCCATGAGTGTGTCTGCGTCCCACAGACCTCTCATTTTCTTCTTTTTCTTCCTGCTACTCAGACTAGATCATTTCAACCGAGCTGTCTTCAAATTCACCACTTCTGCCTCTTCAAGTCTGGGGCTGACCCTCGAAATTTTTATTTTTCCTGTTATACTTTTTAGCTCCAAAATTTCTATTTGGCTTCTTACTATAATTTCTCTCTGCCCACCAATATTCTCCATTCAGAAATAATTTCCCTGATTTTAGTTTTTTGTCATGGTTTCTTTTTCCACATTCATGTAGTTAAATCGTTCACTTCAAGTCTTTGCTTCTTCGGCCCGATGGCTGGGCTTTCTTGGGAACAATGTCTGCCTTTCTTTTTCCTTTGAATTGACCATACCTTCTGGTTCTTTTGCACCTTTTTTAATTTTTGTCGAAAACTGGGTATTCTAAGTACTACAGTGTGGTGGCCCTGCAGACCTGATTCTCTCAGGTACAACCAGCCTTTGCTATTGTTGACTCTATATCTGCAAACAGCATTCCTTGTGTGGTCACTGAATGTCTGTCCTGATCTCTCAGCAGTTAACCAGGGACCTTTCAGATTTTGTTAAATGATGAAAGTCTGCATCTTTGTCCTGAGTTTTTTGTTTGTTCTGTTTTGTTTTGAGTAGATTGCAGAAGTCTAAACATTTTGACAGGTGTTGCCATCTTACGACTGCTCTGATGGAGAGACCACAACACTAGGAACCTTTTATTCATTGGTTTTCTCTTACTGGTGACACCTGCTAGCCCGTGCTAAGCACTGTACATGAATCATCTCATTTAATCCTTACACTAGCTCTATGAAAGTGGGTCATTTGACAGATGGAGACACACAGCTAAAGAGGAAAATTAAAAGCTCAGGATGGACGTTCAACTCTATATTTCCAGCACTCCAGAGACTAAATCAAGAGGATTGCTATGAATTGGAGGCCAGTGTAGGCTACATGGAGCATCCTAGACTATAGTGTAAAACCGTGTCTCAAAACAAAAACAAAAACAAAAACAAAAACAAAAACAAAAGAAAAATAAGAGAGAAAGAATATATTGCCCCATCAGCGAGCAAGCAGTGAAGCTGGCATTTAACAGCTGTTTTGTCTCACTTCTGAGCCTGCTGCCCCTTCATCAGGATACCTGGGGAGTTCCTGAATAGCTAGAAGTCGACAGGGATTCCCCCAGAAAAACTGGCTCACCTGGTCATATGAGTGGGTGTGGGAGTCCCTCGCTGACACACAAGCTGTGTTCTCTGGGAGCGCTTCTCCAGGTTCCACTGTTGGGCGCCATCTCCAAAATAAACATCGGTGAATCCTGCCCCAGCACGCTAGGAGCAGTTTCGTATTTATCTTTGGCGGCTCAGCTTGTCGCTCCTCTCAGGTTCAGTGTGGAAGGTGTGACAAATGTTGACTTTGCTGCAAGCGGCAGTCCTGGCAAAATAGTTCTCTGAAGATTCCTAGACACAAAGACATCGGGGTGGTGGGAGTCAGCCAGACAGCGCAGAGGCAGCTGAACAAGAAAATGAGATTAGGAGGCCAGAGACCCAACAGGTCTGACCTTCAAGTAAGTTAGAAGGTGAACGGTGGCAAGCTGTGGTGCGGTCTTCTGTCTTGTTTCCCGGTCTGTTAGACAGTGCTCAACTGGTGTCTCGGCTCCCTTCCAGGTCTCAACTTGGGTTTCTCTGTCATACCCAACACTAATTTTTTTTTATTTCTTTTGTTTGTGTTTTCTATTTTTATTTTATTTTATGTGTATGAGTGTTTGTCTACACCAATGTAATGCGCCATACGCATGCCTGGGACCTACAGAGGTCAGAAGAAGGTGTCCGGTCCCCGGAACTGAAATCATGGATGGTTGTGAACCACAGGGTGGGTGATGAGGACTGGACCCGGGATCCTCCACAAGCATAACAAACGGTCTTAACCAGGGAGAGCTCTCTTTCCAGTCCCTCCATCCTAGTTTAAGAGTCTAGTCAGGGAAGATAAGAAGATGCTACCCTATGCCACATTTGGATGGTTAGCACTGCTGGGAGCACTGCGGGAGCGGGGGGGGGGGGGAGTGCTCCACAAGAGACATCCCCCATGAACTCAGAAGGCAGAACTGAAGCAGCACAGGAGTGAGGCAACTGCCACGCCTGGTTGCTCCATAACGGGGTTTATACACAGCAAGTGCAGTAGGAAGCAGAGGAAGAGGAAAGAGCTTGCGCATGCGCTGTTTCAGGGAGTACTGATCCTAGCCTATTCAGTCTATCTTCTGAGCCTCATTCACTGGAAAGTGACACCCTGTAAATGCACACACAGCTAAGCGGACAGTTGTCACTCACTGCTCAACCTTGTTTTCCCACGTGTGCTTTGCTTACACCTTTATGCTTTATAAAAATCGATGTATTTCAGTCATTAGAACAAAAGCATCTATCCACCTAAAGGATATGATTTCTTTCTGAGAAAGCAGGGGAAAAGGCAAATGTCTTCCAAACCCAATTACTCAAGATCTTAAAAAACAGCCCCAAACCGGGTCAACAGACCAATTACCAATAATTCAAAGCAGGTAGAAAACCTAGAATGGCGGATTATTGTTAATCCTTAGGTTTTTTTCTCATCTAACTGAGGCTGGCATTGAGTTCCTGATACGATATGCTTGCCTTCCTCCTCCTTCATGGTGCTGAGATTCAATGCACCACCATATCAGGCTACTTTTAAAGTAAATATTTTAAAATACTAGTAATTAAGTGAAAATTAATCTCCTCTTTCATAGGATGTTAAGTGGCTAAATGTAAACTCCTAAAGCCACATGCCTGGTTTCAGTCTCGTTTGGTTCTTTCTAGCTGTGGGACCTTGTAGATGTGACTTAGTTTCTGTGTGACTTGGCCGTATCATAGGTTGCTGTGAAGGTGAAGGGAATTCATGCACACAAAACACCTAAGACAGGGGCTGGCACCAAGTGTACACCACCCAAATATTGCTACTTAATGCCTAAAAAAGATATCAAAACTGATACTGATGGACAAGATGACCAAGCATTACAAACAACATAAATATGGACAAAATGGTGTCTAGATCAAGGGCCAACCTTATAAAGGCGTCACTTCTCAAAGACTAGCTCATGCAGGGCTTTGTACCACCTTCCCTTCCTCCAGCCCCAGTCTCACCTCTGCCCTTCCCTCTTCTAAGGAGAATGTCCTCCAGCTGTCTGCCTCAGCTCCTGGCCGTCCTTCTCCAGAGAATTCGGAGTGGATAATGGGGAGGATGAAGCTGTAATTAAGAGCTTAGCTGGGAAAAGGGGGCCAAGGGAAAAGAGCAAAAGCAATCTTGGGCTGAGCACTCTGGGGACACAGATCAGAGATTAGAGTCAGCTGAAGAAAAGCCCTAGGACTTCTCAGACACTACCTGGGCGACAGACCGGGTCTCCCTTGATGGCCTTCAAGAGGTACAAATGAAAATTAAGTCCATGATGGGACTCAGCACTGCCCACACTGATTTTATGTGCATCATATCCACATAAATAGGTATAATGAAACTACATACATCTCTTTATTTAAGTAGAAAATAAACTAATATAAGCAAAATCTCCATGTTCATCTCTGTTTACACATATGATTCATATAAAAATAACTGTGGGCAAAAGCTTGAGCCCAACAAACTCAAAAGGCCTTTTGAAAAAGTAAAACATGCACATAATATATATTTAAACAGCTTGGAAAGTTTTTAAACAGTCATTTTAGCTGTTGTATGTTGTTGGTAGTTTTGCTCTTTTGG